GTTTATATATATATATATATATATATATATATATATATATATATTAAATTAGTTTTATTTCTAATAGATGAACGTGAGATTTTCAACAATGTATCAAAATGTAAACTAATTTTAGTTTTGTATTCAAGTTTAAAAAATAAAAATATACTTAACTCAAAAAAATATTAATTAAAAAATGTTTGACTGGTTAAAACTTATCATCGTTGTATTTTCTAGACTACATGTATCACAGTATTTTTGTTCATATTATGAAAAGTGTCTATGCTACATAGTGCATGACAGAGTTTAAGGTCGAGAGTGACAAAATGCAAAAGGCGACGACTAAGAAACTACTCGGAAAAGTGATTTTAGTCTTGGCAAACACAACTTGATGATTTAGTCATTGAAAATCAACGTTTTTCCAATCGAACTTATTATTTCATATATTATTATATATGATGCGTGAAGATTGAAGAAAAAGCAAAGAAAAAGTCAATATTGTATTTATATTCAAACTAGTTGATTTGTGACTGAATATTGTGTTGAAGGCAAACTCTAGGTAGGTTCAGTAACATGACAATTTGACTTGACTTTTGTTAACTGAAAGGGTTAATTAGTAGCATCTATACAACGTTAAAATCGTTAAAATCGTTAAAATCGTTAAAATCATAGATGAAACACCTATCACAAGTGATAAATGCCTTCGGAATACTCATGCAGTCAAAGATAACCATGTATATTTTAATGGCTTTTGGAATTCAAGTTGTACAAACTCAACTTGTGGAAAATGTTTGAGAAGCTATAAAAACAGTTTATGATACTGTATAAGCAATTTTTAACTGTTTCCAGTCTTTTTCATAGATGAAAATAGTTTCACTGTATTTTCTTTCACTATAGAATAACTTACTCATAAATATTTACACTCAACTAGTGTTTCATTATGCACTTTTAGTAAACTTAAGATATTAATCTATGCCAATTACAGACCAAGACTTTTACCTTTCCAATAAAAATTTCTTTAAGATAAACTAAAAGATCTGTACAATTTCATAATGTCTTCATACTCAGTCCATATGCAACTTCTTTTATGTCTGAAAAATCTACTATTCCTCAGAAACTCTTAAGTGCCATAATATTATTTTAATATATAACATCACCAGCCGTGCTTTTTTATTCTTCTTTTTCATTCCACAAACCGCGGAAACAAGAATTTTCTCGGAAAAGGATAACCTAAAGAGGCAATGATGTTTATATAATTATAAAAAAATCAATTGACCCTACCCAAGTATATATACATGATTTATATAAACAAAGGAATGATGCATCATAAACATTTTAGAACTCAGAATAGGCCTTCAATTAATCCCTTTTTGGCGACCCTTCAAAAATCAAGCCACTCTTTGCCTTTTCAAAACGGAAATATGCAAATCCCTTGGATAGTCAAATATCAATATGCAGCAACACTCTTCTTTGTTACCGTTGCTCTTACCAAAGTTACCTGTTTTCAGTTCAACTTCCCTTCCTTCCCAGATGACTCTAATCTACTGCTGCTCGGGAGATCAAGAATATTCTTAGATGCCATCCAAGTAACCCTTGATAATCGTAATTCTATAGAGAATTATTCTGGACGTGCTCTCTACAGTAAGCCATACCAACTTTGGAAACAGAAGAATAACCAAAATCAAATAGCTTCCTTCAACACCACTTTTGTGCTCAGAATCACTCCGGAAACTTCTCCTGGTGGTGAAGGCTTGGCCTTTATCTTAACTTCAGATAGGACTGTCCCAGAAAACAGTGATGGACAATGGCTTGGTATTGTAAATGCTACTTCCAATGGAACTTCACAGCCTGGTATTCTAGCCGTGGAGTTTGACACAAGACACAGTTTCACAGAAGATGGCCCTGACAATCACGTTGGCATCAACATAAACAGCATCAACTCCATCCAACAGGTTTCGTTAATGAACAATCGGCTCAATCTATCTTCAGGTCAAGATGTCAAATTTCACATTCAGTACATCAATGACACAATATCAGTTTTTGGTGCCATGAGTGGAACTTCTGAAGAATCCATGGAGACCCTCTTGGTATCTCCACCTCTTAATTTGTCTTCCTTTCTTCAAAAGGAGGTTTACATTGGCTTCTCGGCCTCAACAAGTAACTACACGGAGCGGAACTGTGTCAGATCGTGGGATTTCAGCGGGGATGATATTAGGGATGATGACAAAAGTCTCTTGTGGGTGGTTTATGTTGGCGTTC